AGCCCTGGGTCGAGGCGGTAGATATGTTATTCTTGAGTTTTCTCCCACATAAAACGGACTCAAATACTTTTTAAGTACTGCTATTTGATTATTTCGGCTTATTTAAGGGACATCCGTCGATTTTCGACTAAAGGGGAGGAGTGTGCAACTATTTCGTTTGCATTCGAGCTGCAGGTAGTGGGAGCAGAGTTCGCTGTTCGTTACACTTCAAGGCTGCCCTAGGAGATTTAGAACCCGAGATCTCTTGAGATTAAGTTGATTTCACCACTGCAGGTGCCATTAAGTCACTTCGTTTGAAGAACCCTGTCGTCCCAGGCAGACACACATGTGCAGGTCAGCAATGGAAAGATATTAGGGAGTAAGCAAGGACAGGAGGGAGCATTCTTATGACTTTTAATGAGAATTTGGCGTGGCCCCACTTGGAAACACCCAACTCGCATCATTCGAGACACACCCCAATAGTTGACCAGGGAGCCATTCCACAGACAAGGACTCGACCCTTCCCGCCGAACCAAAGATCCCAGCCCCAAACCTCCGTGCTGATACGCTGGACACGGTGACTCCCGCAGTAGATCAGCTCAAGGTATCTGCCGTTAACATTGTCTGCTTCAATAAAAGGACTACATACCTAAGCGGAACTATTCTATCGATTAAACTATTCCAACCCAGGCATAAACGGTGAAATGCAACGCCAACACAAACACCCCCTTAAGATATCACTTACAACCAAGACATGCACGCCAGAGGTGAACAGCTCACGAAACTCCTCACGCCTTTTCTGTTTTCGTTTACGGGTAGAGGCGCATGTTTCATATTGCACGTGCATCGCATATGTATCGGATGAGAACAAGAGCGACAAGCATCAACCTGGAAGACAACGGTTCTTCCAATCGGCATCAAACCTAACCTATTTCAAGGGGGTCATATTCCTTTAGTTAGGCTGCACGCTTCTGCCATGTACTAAGCAGCATATGAGTATATTACATTACAGTGCTACCGGTCAGTAGTAAACGCTGTGTATCGAAGACGAATGCTAGACAAAATGCCGCTGCCACTTCCGGTCCCAGCGAGATGTCTATTACAATGGGGCAGCGATAGTCGCTGCTTTGCAATGAGCCTGTTGCATGTTGATGTGGCACTCAACTGAGGTGCGGAAGGCAGTGGCTAAATTGCTTCTTCGCATGTGTTCGTGTGTTAAGCTGCATTTAACGGCTTAAGACTGTAATCTGCAACTTGCCAATTCTACGATACGTGGATAGCTGACTACCAACTAGTCATCTTCCAAGATTGTGTCTCTATGCAGCAATAGTTGCCGTGATGGTGATCAAGCTTGCTAGAAGAACGGAGGGTACGGCGATCGATGAGGCGCCGGCGGACGCCTTGAGGTCCCCTTCAGTCATTTCTGCCAGGGTAGTTTTTCGTTTCATTAGCTCGTCGTAGTATGCCTTGCTGCAATACGAAGCAAACCATAGAAGTAGACAATTTGGGGTGAAATTTGCGACTGTCAAGCCCATGCCATACGCACACTTTACACTCAACGCTTACGTGAAAGCAGCCCCGTTCTCCGTCGGCGTAGGATTCATTCGACAGAATAAATAACCCGTAGATGATTCTTGTTTTGGATTTTTCACTGTGCATACTCCAACAACGCAACCAACTTTGTCACTAGTAGACCAGAGAAGCTTTGAGACGTTGGCTCCTGCGGGCTGCTCCCAGACGGCATCCCACGAAGTAGGGTATGATTCCAATTCCCTGAGACAAACAGACATCAGCACGTTGCAAGAGAAGCCTTTAAACGGTAACCGTTTATGCTGTGGGTGCAAATGTTGTCGGTGGAGATCATTTTACATCGAACACCTCCATGCAGTACGGATTTGTAGCTGATTGGTTGATCTAAGGGAAAGCAAACATAGGCCAGACTCACGGTAGCATGAGTCCTACGTCAAGTGCCGTCTGAACCATCTCGCGATAGGTCGGCTCTTTTTCTTCGGTTACGTATCTAACTTGAAATGTCGAATTCGTCTGAAAATACACCAACGGGAAGTTAAGCATATTCCACTTTGGGGAAACGTTAGGGCCTATATGGGCTAGCAGCGGTTCTACCTGAGGAAATTACTCACGATCCCGCTTTGGAGTTGCATTTGTTCACATGTAGTGCCTTGAAGTACACTGTCGGCCTGTCCCAATTCTGACTTCAGAGCGGAAACGATTTGAGTGTCCTTCGCCAGTTCGTTAAGTTTCACAGAAAGCTGACCATTGCGGGCCAAGTTAAGCGTCGTGTATGCATCTGCGGAAAGCACAAGGGACAGCATTGATGCCACCAGTCAACGACGGCCTGCATGTTTTGGTTGGGAACGTTAAGCCCACTGCAATCTATCGTTGAGGCGGTGCACCTCCGTGTCCTATTATTTGTAAATATGCATAGAAACAATTCGAACAAAATGGAGACACTGAGTGCGCTTACCATCGGTAACATCCTTGACTGTGAATTCCAGATCGCCTGCCGTTGCTGACTGCAGCCCACACAGCGCCACGAGGCAAAGAGCAGCGGTCTTGAAAAAAGGCGCCATTGTCAAAGAAAAACGGAAAATAAAACGTGCACAATAATTATACCAACTTTTAAGAGGGCGCAAAACATGTCGTCGATCTGAAGATTTGAGTCCAACCCAGGGGACGCCGCACGCTCAACAGGCCGCTCGTCGTGCACAAGCACTACAATTAAGCTCGAGTGGGGATTTCTAAAGGTCATGTTTGAAGAACGAACGCAAAATACATTTGCCGTGATAGCTTAGATCACTTTAGATAAAAATTATATTAATCCGGCGGCCGATAGTGCTTGCCAGCCTGCTCAAGGTCTCGACTTTCCAACACCAATCATTACATGGACCGTTCGCTCGGTGGAGATATTACTTTTGAAATAGAGTGCTTCTCCGCACATTCATTCACACTATTTATTTATTGTCAGTTAGTAAGTAATTATTATCGTACTTCACTATATTCACATTTAAAAGGGTTAAATTTGATCGATTATGGCCAGATTTAGTACATTCTATTTCAAAATTAATAAGATCCCACCGAGCGCACGGGCAAGGTAGTACTGAGTGAACAGCCCAGTCACTCTCCTGACTCCATGTGAATCTAGTCTGCGCCACTTCGATGCATCCCACGTATCGAATTCCTATCTCTGCAAATACCTTCCTAAAAGTTATAAAACACGCCACTCCGATTAGTGAAGGTCCCAAAAGCCCCCCATCCCCAAAGGGGGGACGAGCTGCGAGCCTCACCGTAAGAGGCAAGTGCCGCTAGTCCACCGGCCCTAAACTTGTCCATTCGACCACAATTTGACCCAAACGCTCCCCACTAAATACTAAATATTTTTTTATTGTTCCTTATAACGAATTCACTCGCCATAGGCTAAGCGGAGAGCCAAGTGTTGTGCCCGTGCACGAGAGCCGACTCCTCACAGCCAGCACTGACCTTCCCCTGGGTCGAGGCGGTAGATATGTTATTCTTGAGTTTTCTCCCACATAAAACGGACTCAAATACTTTTTAAGTACTGCTATTTGATTATTTCGGCTT